TAAAATTGAATATATAATTTTATATGGCAATCCCAAGATTCTTTGCAGGCTCAAGACCGTGGACTGTGTCCTTGCGACGACAACATTTTTTGAAATAGGTGTATMCTTTCAGTAGACATAGTGTATGATGCTTCAACTAATAACTTGCAATATTTGATTTATTTTTTTATACTTCCTTTGTAGGCTTTCCGCYGATCCTATGAATCAAACAGTTTTGATGAACAACTGCCAAGCAGCAATAAAGAGCATAATTGCAGTGGTTCAAAAAGTCTCTAAACAGCTCCAGGTCACCCCCTCTTTGGTTTGTTTATTTGAAACCATAGCAACTGACCTTGTAGTGATCCTGAGCAATGGTAATTATACTTAATGAAAGAAAACTTAATACTTGATTTATTGTTTAATTGTTACTGATTTGTTTCTTATGGAGTACCCAGCAGTCATCAGACATATGCTGACAATGAGTGAGTGTTGGTACTGTAACTCCATACAAAACAGGTCTGTAACAATCAATGTTATTCAAAATCATGAATTACGTGTACTATCTAGAATACAATTCTACTACATTCTTGTAAAATTCTCAGACAATGCTGCAGTATTCCCAAGAGAAATGATTGATATTGCACATTGTTTGTTGTCATCAGATTTTTTACCAGACTGCCAAACAGCGAGTGGTATGGCACTTATCTGTCTTATTATCTGTTTGYTTACCAATCAAGATCACTATAATCAGCTGGTAAGCACAAAAAACATCTTCTTGACAAAATATTACTGTTGTTGTAACTTCACAAATTAGATTGAAGACAGAAAACAACATCAGGAACAACAACTTTGTTCCTTGTTCATGTCCTACAACTTTGCATGTCTGAATATGCAKGGTCAACAAACATGTCTGAATATGCCAAGATCAACAAACTTAAAGCAAAAAATGTAAATCTCATAAAATACTTGCAGAAATGACTTATTGCTGATGACACCTAAGTTAATTACAATGATAAATTATATCATGGTACTGTTGCCGAAGATGATTTCTGAACAATTATAGCAATTATTTTTTACATACTATTATTAAATTATATTCAATGAATTTCTCCTTTTTGGTTAAAGACAACAAAATGTAAATGACAAAATTTAGTATAGCATGATTTTGTCAGCATTTTGGCATTTAGGGTAGATCACATGTCTTATTTAGTTTTCTTTGTTAATGTTGTGTACTCATTCTCTTTGATGAAAATCAAATAATTATTCAAAATTAATAATAATAATTATTATAAATAATAGTGAGTGTAGATTAGGACAGTGTAAATTTCTTTATCAGGAAGTTATAAATCATTTTCAGATTYCATTGATTTTGGTCATTGAAAACAAAGCTGATGTATTATTTTCTTCAATGYTACAGATCCTAGAAACTTTTTTTCCACACTATACTAGTAATCAAARCACTGAACACCAAGTGCAAACTGAGAATCAAGGATGGATATCAAGGGTTCTCATGGAACAGAAATGGCAAGGTACTGTGCATGTTTTGTATTTTTAAAAGCATGTACGTTAATACATAATATAATAAGCATGCAATCAGGGTTGCTGGAGGAGGATACAATTCTCCAGGTTTTTCTACAAAAGAACATGCTAGGCCCCAATCTGCAATCATGACCTATCAGTCCAATYAGGGTTGTGGATGTGACTCACAAGGTGTACTTCATTTGTCACTATAATTACAACTAGTCTATATTATATTTTGATATTGATGTAATAGTACAAACACTCAGATTGGTCAAAGAGCATGTCGATATTTTAACTCCAGTCGGTAAATTCACGCTCACAATAGAATGAATAACTTTCTAAGTCTACAAAATTATTAAAGGATGTATTGTTGTGCAGTCATTGGTGAAATGAAGCACTTTGGGATGTATGGAGAACACCAAAAAATGCAGAAAAAAAATTAGTTTGATTTTTATACTTTATAATCACGATAATTGTCATGCAATTTGATGTGTTATCTTTTTAGCTCCCCTTAGTTTTGCTCACCTGTGTTTATGTCATGGTGTCCTCACAATGRCACCACTTGAAGAACTGGTTAAACCACTAGACTATCCCAAGGTACTACYAGTCAAAAACTAACTAACTTTATTTCTTTGCAGTGCTATTTGTAAAGAAATGTTTCTTTTCCAATCATCTTTTTTTTGTCCAATTCTTTCTTTTTTGATAATCGTCTTTTTGTGCAATGTTTTATAGTGTATTGCATAAGGTTTTGCTATTCCCTGTTGTGATGCACTTTTGAAGGTTGTGCATTTTGTACAATCATTATTTGTTTTAGTGTTCCACAATACCTTCCCTGCGGTCAGTGATATACTTCATTTATTTTAAATTATCTCAACAGTTAGGAAAAAGCCAAACACTTTTGTTTGATGTTATATTGAGTGATCTCTGTCTTCTGTGCAAAAGGTATTTTGAAGTGGATCTTTAMTTATAACACCAGGCATGATTTTTTAAACATTTTATGRCTACAGAAAAATAAATGACCTCAAAAGCTCCAAAGTAGCATTGCTGGTCCCAATATGTTGGTTGTGGTACCATCACATGCTAAACAAATGAGATGTTAAAGACATCTATTATAATTATGTTACAGATATATACCTAGTCATAGGTAACATTAGCACTGTACTGCCCAGTCCTGCCCAGCTTGTTGTGACTGTTTGCACACACTTGCCAACGCCATGCAACAACTGACAACAATGTTCATCCCAACACCCTAGAGTTAATTACAAAATGTTACTTCCCATTTTTTGACATTGAGCTATGTATGATTTTGAATTTTTTTTCAGCCTCAAAGAACCTTTTTCATGTGTAACTTCATACAAAGTTCTTACACTATGGGCCAAACAAGTGAGGTATGATTTATCATGATTGACTGTGTCAACTAGTTGCTTCAATTATGAATTCTTTCTATTTGTCATGGGGTTTTTAAAAGTTTATTTTTGGTGTATCAATTTATTGGCATCTATTATCAGGAATGAAATAACATAATATTATATAATAATTGAATGGTCGGATACAAAAATGGCGTAAATGACTTTTCAGGGTATTTTTAGAACTTTGTGTTATAGATTATCACTTATTTTCAGTCTAAATATTTGTGTTTCCTACTTATTTCTCATGATTTCCTTCCAAAACGTGGAAAACGACACATGGTTACAAACATCCTCTCCTTGTAATTTAGTTTAGGGTTAATAGAGCAAACTTTAGGAAAGGATTAGCAAGGATTCACTTATTAACCTAAGACAAACAGTTATATGATCTTCACAGTGGCTTCATAGCTCAGTAGAGCACTGCACTGGCATCGCAGAGGTCAAGAGTTTGATGAAATGTTTTCGGACGATTCATACATTTCTTAATAATCACTTAGATTATTATCTKTACACTGCGACAATCATATAAATTCATTACATAATTAGGTTAATTGGATAAGGGAGCATAATGTGGATGTGAAAATTGATAGTTGATTGAAAGAAAAAAATAACATCTATTCAATTTGTCTAACCAGAAATTCTCTACATGGTGTTGTATCACCAGTATTGTTGACACAAGTCCATGGTTCTGCASCCATTCCACAGAAACTGCTGTCAATTGTATGGAATAACTGGGAGCATCCTATTGAAGTATGTGCTAGCTATTGTAAATGCAGACAGAAAAATCCATTCCTATAAACAGTAGCTATATTATATGTGGCCATGATAATGAAATTAAAATTAAAATTGAAAGTTTGTCTCCAGTTGTATGCCAGTCCTAGTATCATGCAATAAATATGGCTGAATGCAATTTAGGCAAAGTTAATACAATTTGTTGGGTTTCTACCTATGTGGTGGGGGCCTTGCAGCGTTTTAATTTCAATTTCATCTCTCTATCTCTCCAGTTTTTCTCCTTTGCTATTAAGTGKTATTCTTTCTCTTTTTTCTTATTTTCCTCAGCCTGTCAAAATGCCACCAAGTATTAAATCAGCTTGATACCAACAATTTTCAAACAGATTGTATTAGCTACTTCATGATGTTACATTGCATAGCATAATGTCATTTTTTTAATCATATGCAGACAGTCCGTTACCAGGTTAAAGCCATCTTTGACCATGTTGTGAACATGCATGTAATTTCATCAGGTCAAGGTGGGTATTAAATGTGTCAAGTAGTTTTGTAATTTAGTTAAAAACACAATCATTAATGAGGCATCCTTTAAGTCCAATAAATTATTTAGTTCAAATTTACATTTAGCATTACAAAATGCATTCCATTCCAAAATGAGAATGAGAAGACAATAAACTAGTGGGCAAACATCATCAACATGACATTCTAATAATCTTTCTGAGGGCAGCCTAATTGTACTTTGAAATTAATGTTGTATCCAGTCAATGATTGAAAGGTCAACTCCTTCCATATCACAAGGTCACCAAAATAGGGTATAAGGCCAAGGTCATCAAAATAGGGTATAAGGCCAAGGTCACCAAAATAGGGTATAAGGTCAAGGTCATCAAAATAGGGTATAAGGCCAAGGTCATCAAAATAGGGTATAAGGTCAAGGTGATCAAAATAGGGTATAAGGCCAAGGTCATCAAAATAGGGTATAAGGCCAAAGCTGATTACAGTTATTTCATGTGCCGATGATTTACTCTCAACTATTTCTAGTTTTTTCTATCTTAGTTACCAATGTTGAAATTATCATGTTTTCCTTTTTCAGATCCATCCAATGACAACTTTCTCAAGGATATCTCTGGGAAACTATTACAAATGGGCTTGCACACCCGGGGGATATATGGACCTCTTTGCTGTCTGACAACAGTTACTGGGGCAAAGTGCTTACTTGATTGGCATCCCTGTATCCCAGGACAACTTATGGAAATGCTAAAAGACAATATTACTGCTCCACATGTATATATTATTATCTGATTTCTTATCTACTACAATCTATGTTAAATTGTATGATTACAGCACATATCGTACTGTATGTTGAAATTGTTTGTTATGATTGTATAATGATTTTTCGTTAAACTTTTAAGTTTACCCAATGTGAAAGGAATTTATCATATAATTATATGATAAACAGGGAAAAATCCGTATCTCCAAACACCCATGTAATATCCTCTATGTAAGTTAGCATTTTACCTTATTTTGGCTTTAATAAATAATGTAATTTTCTGCTATCTGTAATCGTAGTGTAAAAGTGTTTTATGTTATAGTTTGTGTGTTTGTTATCGGATATTTAAGTTATTGTTTACAAATATATTATTTGTTTTTGTTTTTCAGGTTATTGATTTAATTGAAATCATGAGCACAGCGCACATGCATGAAATAGTTTCTGCAGGAAAAGATATGGATTTCTGGCTAAGGGTATGTAAACTGTGTAAGAGGTAAATCAATATTATGTCAGTGAGCGTGAGCTGCATTGCTCTTTCTTAGAGTCACAGTTGTTATCGATGCCAAAAAAATAATAGTGAAACAACTTCTGAACGTTTTGAGAAAAATARCAAACTAAGAAAAAGGGTTGTGAAAYGGTTGTTGCTCCTCAAATGAACCCATTTACAGTAGCACASATGTATAATATATCACAATGCTTCACTGGAAGCAAGATTGAACTGACACTTACAAATAGATTCAATTGACTCGTGGTATATTTATTTGTGATTTGTTTACAGACATGGGTTGTACCTGTCATTAGTGTTCTTAGTCATCAAGGTAGTATCCAGGAAGGTGTTCATATTGAGGTATCAATTTTATTTTTAAATAAATTAAACAATGGCGTTCGACAACAAATACCCCAGMATAGATTGCGATGTAACTTGTTGTAACSGCGAAATCAATGATGCAAAATGTACGATTTTTAAAAATTTATTGTGTCCGTTGTAAATAATCAATTCAAAATTAGTGAGATGCGAAAACTCTAGAGGGGTTTTGGCTTTATGTACAAGAAATAAAACAAATTCTAGGATTCGATTTCGAGTTAAGACAGTCAGAGTCTGTTGGTCTCAAAAGAGCTAGCATGCACTAAAAACATAGCTTTTGCTTCATATCTTTATCTCCCTAACRAATTGGTRTACAGTGCCGAAACTCTGCATGAACGTAGCAATATGATAGGTAAGTTCTTTTTCATAAATCGGTCAATATATATTTGAYACAAAGTAAAATGTAAATTTTTATTTGGCATTTTCTTTGAAAATTCTTGCTCCAAGTTAAGGAGCACATGATGTTATCTTTCCTCGATGAATTTCCACCAAACTTTAGTAAGCGTTAGGCACTACCTCTAATATTATGTCCCTGAGATATTGTGGAAAAAAATAGGCTTTATTCGTTTGAAATAGCTGTAAAAGCGTTTTCCTGGATTTCCCCATAAAACTCATAAATTAAATCTGATTTTCACAAAATTTACTCAATATTAATTTGAATCCCTTGGTAATAACCAAGATAACCAGRCCGTTCATTGCAGAGGTAAAAAGAAGACAGCTGTAGGGACRTTGTCCCTGCTGGGAAGCAAAGGTTTCCTTTGCCTTCTGTGCCTTATGAATAACATGAGGGACGATTAGTCTAATCTTCCCTCATTTTATTATGCATGAGGGAGGGATGTTCACTTATAAACATCCCTCGGAAGACAAAAGAATCCGAGGTGATCATGGTATTATTATGATTTGACCAACTTAAATTACTTATCCGTTTCTTTCTTCACGGTCGGAGTTCTTTTAAAACAACTGTATCCAGATACCTTAAAACAATAAATAATTCATACCACCCAGTACCGCTCAACAGAACGTGCAACCCACCCATAGTTACAATAGACTATTAACTATGCTCTACACAAAAACCATGCAGGATGTTTGTGTTGTCCCTTAAAAAAAAAAAAACTTTGAGAGAGGTGACCAGTATTAGTTCATATATAACTTGTATTTTCTGTACTGGAAAGAAATTCATTTTATTTTCAATGTTAATATATTAAAATTGTTTTTGGTTCAAAGAGATGCATACCATCTTATTCTGCATTTTGTGCTTTTTCATAGCAAACTGTCTCTAAACTGCTACGATGTTATCCTGAGAGTCTACAGTTCATTGTGAACAATCTACAAAATCATTACAGTAAGTAAATAATTCTTGGGTCTTGGCTGGATAATTTCTGGGTCATTGTAGCCTTCAAGTCATTGTAGATGCATAATCTTCTTTTCTGGAGCATAATATGCTTTGAAAGTTACATTGTCTTCTTAACCTTGGTCAGTTGCTGTGCTCTGTCTGTACTTCCTAACCATGGTCTAGATTTTTGTATCTTGACTGCACACTCGGTTAATAAGACAGAAGCAAAATTTTATAAAAATTTCAGGTGGTAGGAAGAAAGAACATCTGTTGTCTGGAAACACACTGATTATTATTATTATTTTTTTATACAGATAAAAACATTGGTAGTTTGATCACGTGTCTCAAAACAGCAAGAACCATGGGATTGATTAAAGTAAATGAAAATCAGTCAAAAGCAGAGACTTGGGGTGGAGTAGTTCCAGTCACATGGCTCGAGAAGGCTTTATGTCACATCGAGGAACAAGTAAGTATTTCCAAGTAGCATTGTTGTCTTATAGTATTTCAATATATAGTATACTCCATGGTATTAGTGTAGATACATGTAGTTCCAATCCCATGATATGAAATAGATCATACCTTAGTTGCCTTGACCATTAGTTGCCTTAATGGTCCAACTCTGTAAGAGTTAAGTAGGTAGGGTTAAGGTTTAATAAAGTTCTTTATTGTGTCATTCAAAGAGTTTTCACATAAAAGGAATGCAAAATAACATTGGCAAATCTGATCATTGTTCCTGAATTCCCAGAACAACAATTCATTTTCCATTCTATTGAACGGTACAGTGAAGTTAGCAAACCTCAACTACAAATTGCTAAGTTCATATTAGTTAGAAGAATGCAGAAAATAGACAGCATGAGTCAAGCAGGGGTATTTATCAATTCTACTTTTTTTAGCAAACTGCATTACTCAGTAAATGATTTTGGAGCTGAGAAAAAAAATTCCAAGTCTAATTTCCCAAGTATTGACAGAAAATGTCTTGCAGCCCAGCATAGTGACCTCGATTCAGCTACTCTATTGTTTAAAAAGGCCCTTTTTAGTAGTTGAATCGAGGTCACTATGCTGGGATAGTTGTCTGCAGAAACAGGATGTTGCGAAAAAAAAAAACAAGTAGTGGCATGAGCCGAGTATGAAGATCTTTTTTATAATTGAACAACAATTTTTTCTGAAGCAGTGGGCTCTATGCCCTGATAGTACCCACGATCCGTAGCATTTTTGAATTTATAAGCAGATATTAGCTATAATGCTTATATTTGTTCTAGATCCGGTTAGATGCCTTAGGATTGTTGTGTGACTGCCCTCGAACAACAGAGCCAATTAGCATCACAGACTTGGTGTTACTTAAGATGTTTTTCCCTCTAAACCTGAACAATCAATCACCATCATTTAGACAGCAATGCACAACATATCTTAAAAAGGTAAGGAATTACCATGATAATGCTAGCATGAAAATGATGCTGATAAATAATCATGATAAGACTATTATAAGGTTCTTGTTTGTAACGATGAAAGTATGATGTCTGTGACTGGTAGAAATATGGCATATCACTGGAAACTGGCCTGTAAAAAGTGGATAAAGTTATGCACCAAATGAATATACACGCCTATTTCAAAAAACACGAAAGTCTTGAGCCTGCAAAGAATCTTGGGATTGCCGTGTATAATTATATGTTCACTTTAAAGTGCCTATGGCGCCTGAGAGAGAGAAAAAAATCCGATTCTCGGTGAGCTGATTCTGTGTAAAGTAAATAATTGAATGGCGAAATATTCCTGCATTTCAGTGTTGCGTCTTTGAGTTTTGAAGGTTTAATCTTCCAAGATATGCTCATGATAATGACGTCAAAGGAGGCTTCATTAGATATGCGAACTTTGAAACAGTCGCTCAAAAATCTTTTCATGAACGCCATCTGGGAATATGTTTATTCCCTACATTTCATATTTTGAATCGTTGCTCCCTTGTTTACTCATTTATCAATCCCAAAATGCATTGTGTCAAGGCTTCCCGTTGGTTTCCGGGCTGTAGTCTCACTTAAATCTGTCTCTAAATCCGCCCTGATGTCTTGCAAATCAGAGAATAGAATTAAAAATTGATAAGAACTCCATTTTTTGTTGGCTGTGTTTTTTTTCTGGCAGTAACCACATGCACTGTTTGAGTGCCTTTAATTTAGAATATTGATGAGATATTAAGGTTCATACATGTGACCAAATAGGCTAATCCAATTGGCCCAGAGTTTTTGAACAAGTTTGCAAAGTATTTTAGTAAAATTGATTGTTATCATAAAGTGCTAGCTCAAAATGACATAGTAGTAATAGACTACTTCTCCCGGAATTGCCTCCTTCTAAGCACTATAACTTTCTTTCATTTCTATATAGTAGTAATAGTTTGCTCGAAGCTGTAGTCAAAGGTCTCACTGGAAGAAAATGCGCTATTTGAAGTTTGTAAATTTGTAATAAATGGAATTTCTATAGTATTTACAATTTAAGTATGAAAATATCTCGTAAATGTCCAAAACTGTAAATATCACGTAAATTCGGATTTACGCTGTCTTTATATAGTTTAATTTTCATAAAAGTAACTGTAAATTTGATGTAAATATTATGTAAGTGTCAGTGAAACTAATTGCAGCTGTTGATGAGAATGAAAGAATGCCTTCGAATATCAGCCAAGCAACTTGACAGATTTAAAGATGACGAGCTCCACATTAATAGACTTAAAGCATACAAGGTATAATATAATATAGTAAGATAGTAAATCATAATTACATGCAATAAGATATCAAAATTTAGCATAACATGTTTTCGTAAATAAGATAAGATGATTGTGCTGATATGGAGGGATATTCTCATGTAGCGTACAACATTGTGATTCGCATAACTCTTTGCGGCTATATATCGATCAATACTGTTCCCCTGTAAATCCAAAGTGAAAGTTGCCCCACCAAGCCCCAAGAATTCATTACTTATACAAACTATATTTATCAAGAGTGAAAAATAACAGTAATGAGTAAAAGTTAAATACCAAGAACTGAGACAGTAAGCCATTTATAGCACTCGGGGGTTCAGACCACGATTTTCTATGCTCAAATAAGAATAAATCCATGAGATGTTTTTGTCTTTTAAGGAATTTCTACAGTGGTTTAAGGATCTCATGTTTTCATCACTTTTCCCTGGAGGTTCTTTTGCTCGACGTACAACAGCTCTCCACTTCTTAAAGCTGCTAAATATAATTTTTGTTAATGACAAAAAAGGTGAGACCATGTAATCATTATCTTATTCTCATAGTTATTCAAAAATCACCATGTATCCTATTTATGCATTGCTCATTTCTTGTTTCTTTTTTTTTCTCTCTGCTACATGTTGATTTCTCTCATGTTAAAGTAAAGTATACAGCTATATACGAAAAAGTTAGATACTGAAGTTACAGTTGAAGTTAGTGTATTGTAAGACCGCAATGCACTGATGGTCGTTCCATTGCCGTTCAAAAGGAGTTTTCGTGGTATTCGATCGTTATAGTCCAGTCCGTACCGTCAAGAACTTCAATAGAGAGTTTAGAATTGTCATTTCGTAACTCTCAGGTAAAGCGGACTTTAATGGCATCAATGCATTACGGTCTTGGAGTGCACTATGCAGTATTCAGTATTTGACGTTTAGCTGAAATTGCTGATTAAATGATTTTGAGATACCAATATAAGGTGTGCGCTTATTGGACAATGGTTGTTCGCTGCCGCTGCACTTGAAAAAAGGGGAAAAGATTATGGACCAAAGAAGTATAAAAAGTGTACTTCTGTTCCTAACCACTGATTGTAAAAACATGATGTGAGATGGAGAGTACCCGGGTACATGTAGGAACTCGTATTACTTGCCTTGCCTCTCCAATTTGTTCCCATATCTCATAAATCCTTTATCAGAGACTGACATGCTTCTTTCTTGTATTATTATTATTAAAAAAAGGAAATTACATTTCTATTGGGGACTATGGTGTATGTGAAATACCTAGATGTATAGTTTGCTTTTAGTTCATCCATTTAGCAGATTATCTATTTCATCAGTCTGTTATATTTTGTTGTAGTTGTAAAATGCGGGACATTTGTATTTAATGACATTGTGACCAAAGCAAATATCACAGTTCTGGTTGACTGTTTGCACGACACTTATGATGTCAACAAGGTTCTAGCTTATGAACTTTTGATGTCCTGCCCTAACAGTTGTCTGCCATTCCAGGTAAATCGTGAATTGATGTCAAAGTATCTTTTATTATATTAACTTCAGTGAAATACCAGGAGATGCTCAAGCGCGATATACCTTTCACATGTGAAAATATGGAGGATATTACATGGGCGCGCGCAGTTACGGATTTTATCTTCGAGTGTTGAAAAGATCTCTCAAGAGTGAGTGTAGCGAACACGAGAAGATAAAATCCGCTAGTTAAAATAACTTTTCAAAAGAGAGAAGTAGGTATTTCATAGATAATTATATGACAAATTATGTTATTCCATATGTGAAAATAACACGTTACCATTACACGTTACCTGTTCCTAGAACATCGTTACTAAACTTGCAAATGAAATGGACACTGACAATCTCAAACTACAAGATCTCATCATAGACTTACAACTCGCGAACAATCTTCATAAGGAAATGATACAATATATTCATTGTCAATTTTCAAAGTATGTGAAAGGAATGACAAAGAGAATCGAAATGTTTCGTACACGTGTGACTGATCCGATTCAACTTTGAGTTCTTTATGATCTTCATTGATTTTTATACCTGTACTGTTTTGTGAGGCATGTGGTAGTTTTTCAATGAAAATTGAAGGCCTGTGGTACCTCTGAGAAAAATAACGTGTAATCTTAGGTGTTCGTCAAATTTAAGATCAGCTGAGCATTTTGGGATACATAATTGATAGGGATACCTATGTCTATTACCAAATTTGTTACTGATAATGTTTTTATTAGTACACACCGTTGCTTGCATCCATCATGGTTAGGTGTTGGTTTGTTGGTTGGTTGATTGATTGATTGATTTCTTTTTGTTGACACTGTTAGACCATCGACGCCCTTGAAGTCTGGTTACAACGACTAGACAGTTTGCTGTCAAGCCCCAGAGCAGTTGATGCCACAACAGCTAGTGTCACATTAAAGCTCTTGATAGAAAAATGCTCTCTTGGTCTTTATCTTCAGTCAAGCAATTCAGATTGTAAAGGATCTATTGAAATCAGAGGTTTTAGTCGAATTGAATCCCAAACCTATCGAGTTCTTTGCCATCTTTTGGATTCCCTCAAGACTCAGAGAGCAGTGGCAGAACAAAGTCTTAACCAGGCTGCATCCCAGGCTCCAATGCACAACACCATTCATTGTTTACGTGAGATATTGGGACACCTTTCTTTAAGGTACGTAATACGTTCTCATATCCAGAGACAGCAATTCATTGAAAATCATTCGGGAGGTACAAGGAATATACTTGTAATTTGGCAAGCACTACTGAACGGAAGTTTTTTCAGTGTTGTTCTAAGTTGTTCAGATTTTTATTCCTTTGGAATTGACACTGATTTAATTCCAAAAATAAATGTGTTATACATTAATTTTTGATATTCATCATTACCAAAAAATGTTTTTTCAAGTTTGTTTTATATCGGTCATCACGCGATATGAAGATTAAGATTTGGTATTAATTTCACTTTTCAGCAAATTTTCAACTGAAACACTGTGGAAACAGCTAGTGTCCAGTTTGCTAAATGAGGGATTTCGTGTTGCTAGCGTCGTGTCGCCTGTAGTTACCTGTAGCTCTCCTGAAGGTCATATGATTGATGACGATTACGATGAACTCTTGGATGGAGCTGTGGAAGGAATTTTTAACTCCTCTTCACAAATTCTGCTTGTTTGCTGCTGGAGAACAATGAAAGAAGTGGCACTATTGTTAGGAGACCTGGTGCAATGTGCACCAATAAAAACATGTGACACCGAAGCAAGCTTACTGACATCTGAACAGGTAGGGTATAATTTGTAAACAATTAGTCTAAGATGGTCTTGTTACCAACTGATCAATATTGTTATCATCATCACTATCAGTGGTAAATCTTATGCATCGTTTTTTTCTAATGCAGCTTTTTTTACTATTCTTGCCTTATATATCAACTCTTTTTTGTTGTTAATCTAAAACCAGGCGAATTACACTCCCTTAGATGACATAAACAATTGATTTGTGTGTATAGTGCAGAGGTATTCTTTCCACGCTGACGTTGATTTGTGTGTATAGTGCAGAGGTATGCTTTCCACACTACGTTGATTTGTGTGTATAGTGCAGAGGTATGCTTTCCACACTGACGTCCATGTCCATGGTCCTATCATTCAAAAGTAAATAAATGTTTAGCACAAGAACGTGATGATAGGCAGTTTTAAAGATAGTCAGCCAATAGGAATCAAGTAGTTAAAGATAGTCAGCCAATCGGAATCAAGTAGTTAAAGATAGT